TTTAGGGTGTCATTCAGGGTTTAATTTCGTTTTTTTTACTCTAGGGTTTCTTCTCATGGAATTCTTATCCGGATGGTCAAACGTTCATGTGGGTTTCTTTAGGGCTTCTTCAGGTTTCATTTAGGGTTTCTTTAGGGTTTCATTTAAGGTTTCTTTAGGGTTTCATTTAGGGTTTCATTTAGGGGTTCTTTAGTGTTTCATCTAGGGTTTCGTTTCTTCAGGGTTTCAGTTTGGGTTCCATTTAGGGTTTCATTCAGAGTTTTTTAGGGTGTCGCTTGGGGTTTCTTGAAGATTTCATTTAGTGTTTCATTCAAAGTTTCGTTAGGCTTTCATTTATGGTTTGTTTAGGTCAATTTATGGTTTCTTTAGGGTTCATTTAGTGTTTCATGTAGGGGGTTCTTAGCAGGAAATTCTGTAGGGTTTCTTTGGATTTCACCTAGGGCCTTTAAGGTTTCATGTAGGTCACAAACAAGAGAGAATAAAACAAAATAATTAGGGTTTCATGTAGGGATTCTTTAGGGTTTCCCGTTTCTTTAAGATTTACATCTCTTTAGACTTTCATTTCGGGTTTCTTTAGGGTGTTGGTAGGGTTTCATGTAGGGTTTGATTTAGGGATTCTTTAGGGACTCTTTAGGGTTCAATTTCGGGTTTTATGACGGGTTTCTTATCAGGAATTCTTATCAAGATTCTCAATCGTTCATGTGGGTTTCTTTAGGGCTTCTTTAACGTTTCATTTAGGGTTTCATTCAGGGTTTCTTTGGGTTCATTAAGGGTTTCATTCAGAGCTTCTTTAGGGTTTCTTTAGGGTGTTATTTAGGGTTTCTTTGGGGTTTCATTTACAGTTTCTTTAGTGTCTCATTTAGGGTTTCGTTTACGGGTTCTTCAGGATTTAAGTTTGGGTTCCATTTAGGGTTTCAATCAGAGTTTTTTAGTGTGTCGCTTGGAATTTCTTTAGGATGCCATTTAGGGTTTCATTCAAAGTTTCGTTAGGGAAGGTCTTTTGAGTGTTTCTTTGGGGTTTCCTCTGGGGTTTCTTTAGTGTCTCATTTAGGGTTTCAATCAGAGTTTTTACGGTGTCGCTTCGGTTTCTTTAGGATGTCATTTAGGGTCTCATTCAAAGTTTCGTTAGGGTTTCATATGTGGTCTCTTGAGGTTAACTGATGGTTTCTTTAGGGTTCATTTAGGGTTTCATGTAGGGGTTTCTTATCAGGATATCTTTAAGGCTTTAAACTTTCTCTGGTTTGCACCTAAGGTCTTCAGGGTTTCATTGAGGATACACACACACACAAAAGAATCAGGTTGTCATTTAGTGATTCTTTAAGGTTTCGTTTAGGGTTTCTTTAAGATTTACATTTCTTAAGGGTTTCATTTAGGGTTTCTGTAGGGTTTCATGTAGGTTTGATTTAGGGTTTCTTTAGGGTTTCATTCAGGGTTTCTTGAGGGCTTCATTCAGGGTTTCATTCAGGGTTTCTTTAGGGCTTCACTTAAGGTTTCATTTAGGCTTTCTTTAGGGTTTCATTTAAGGTTTCTTTAGGGTTTCATTTTTAGAGGTTCTTTAGTGTTTCATTTAGGTTTTTTTTTTCACCGGGTTTTAGTTTGGGTTCCATTTAGGGTTTCATTCAGGGTTTTTTAGGGTGTCGTCTCGGGTCTCTTTAGGATGCCATTTAGGGTTTCATTCAAAGTTTCGTTAGGCTTTCATTTATGGTTTCTTTAGGTCAATTTATGGTTTCTTTCGTGTAGGGGGTTCTTAGCAGGAATTCTTTAGGTTTTCTTTGGGTTTCACCTAGGGTCTTTAAGGTTTCATTTAGGATACAAACACGAGAGAATAAAACAAAAGAATTAGGGGTTCATGTAGGAATTCTCTGGGATTCTTTAGGGTTTTGCGTTTCTTTAAGATTTACATCTCTTAAGGGTTTTATTTCTGGTTTCTTTAGGGTTTCTGTCGGGTTTCATGTAGGGTTTGATTTAGGGATTCTTTAAGGTTTCATTTAGGGTTCAATTTAGGGTTTTGTGTAGGGTTTCTTATCAGGAAATCTTGTCAAGGTTTTCAAACGTTCATGTGGATTTTTTGAAGGTTTCTTTAGGGTTTCATTCAGGGTTTCTTTGGGGTTTTAAGGTCTTTTGAGGGTTTCTTTGGGGTTTCATGTACGGTTTCTTTAGTGTCTCATTTAGGGTTTCGTTTACGGGCTCTTGAGGATTTAAGTTTGGGTTCCATTTAACGGGTTTCAATCAGAGTTTTTTAGGGTGTCTCTTCGGGTTTCTTTAGGATGTCATTTAGGGTCTCATTCAAAGTTTCGTTAGGGTTTCATATGTGGTCTCTTGAGGTTAACTGATGGTTTCTTTAGGGTTCATTTAGGGTTTCATGTAGGGGTTTCTTATCAGGATATCTTTAAGGCTTTAAGCTTTCTCTGGGTTGCACCTAGAGTCTTCAGGGTTCATTGAGGATACACACACACACAAAAGAATCAGGTTGTCATTTAGTGATTCTTTAAGGTTTCGTTTAGGGTTTCTTTAAGATTTACATTTCTTTAGGGTTTCATTTAGGGTTTCTGCAGGGTTTCATGTAGGTTTGATTTAGGGTTTCTTTAGGGTTTCATTCAGGGTTTCTTTAGGGCTTCATTCAGGGTTTCATTTAGGGTTTCTTTACGGCTTCACTTAAGGTTTCATTTAGGCTTTCTTTAGGGTTTCATTTAAGGTTTCTTTAGGGTTTCATTTAGAGGTTCTTTAGTGTTTCATTTAGGGTTATGTTTTCTTCAGGGTTTCAGTTTGGGTTCCGTTTAGGGTTTCAATCAGAGTTTTTTAGGGTGTCGTCTAGGGTCTCTTTAGGATGCCATTTAGGGTGTCATTCAAAGTTTCGTTAGGGTTTCATTTATTGCTTTAGGTTAATTTATGGTTTCTTTAGGGTTCATTTAGCGTTTCATGTAGGGGTTTCTTAGCAGGAATTCTTTAGGGTTTCTTTGGGTTTCACCTAGGGTCTTTAAGGTTTCATTTAGGATACAAACACGAGAGAATAAAACAAAAGAATTAGGGGTTCATGTAGGGATTCTTTAGGGTTTCGCCTTTCTTTAAGATTTACATCTCTTAAGTTTTTTTTTTTCGGGTTTCTTTAGGGTTTCTGTCGGGTTTCATGTAGGCTTTGATTTAGGGATTCTTTAAGGTTTCATTTAGGGTTCAATTTAGGGTTTTGTGTAGGGTTTCTTATCAGGAATTCTCATCAGGGTTTTCAAACGTTCATGTGAGTTTATTTAGGGTTTCAGTCAGGGTTTCATTTAGGGCCTCTTTAGGGTTTCATTTAAGGTTTCATTTAGGGTGTCTTTAGGGTTTAAGGTCTTTTTTGGGTTTCCTAGGGTTTATTTGAGGTTTCTTTAGTGATTCATGTAGGGTTTCGTTTACGGGTTCTTCAGGGTTTCAGTTTGGGTTCCATTTAGGGTTTCATTCAGAGTTTTTTAGAGTGTCGTTTAGGCTTCTTTAGGATGTCATTTTCGGTTTCATTCAAAGTTTCGTTAGGGTTTCATGTAGGTTTTTTTTAGTCTTTCATTTAGGGTTTCGTTTACGGGTTCTTCAGGGTTTCAGGTTGGGTTCCATGTAGGGTTTCATTCAGAGTTTTTTAGAGTGTCGTTTAGATTTTCTTTCGGATGCCATTTAGGGTGTCATTCAAAGTTTCGTTAGGGTTTCATTTATTTCTTTAAGTTAATTTATGGTTTCTTTAGGGTTCATTTAGTGTTTCGTGTAGGGGTTTCTTAGCAGGAATTCTTTAGGGTTTCTTTGGGTTTTACCTAGGGCCTTAAGGTTTCATGTAGGGTACAAACAGGAGAGAATAAAGCAAAAGAATAAGGGTTTCATTTAAGGATTCTTTAGGATTTCATTTATATAGGGATTCTTTAGGGTTTCATGTAGGGTTTCTTTAGGATTTACATTTCTTTAGGGTTTCATTTAGGGTTTCTTTACGGTTTCTGTAGGGTTTGATTAAGGGATTCTTTAGGGTTTCATTTAGGGTTTAATCTTGGGTTTTATGTGGGGTTTCTTATCAGGAATTCTTATCAAGATTTTCACACGTTCATGTTGGTTTCTTGAGGATTTCATTAAGGGTTTCATTCAGGGTTTCTTTCGGTTTTCATTTAGGGTTTGATTTAGGTTTTCTTTATGGTGTCATTTAAGGTTACGGTTTCTTTAAGGTTTCATTTAAGGTTGATTTAGGGTTTCTTTAGGGTCTTTAGGGTTTAATGTAGGATACAAACAGGACAGAATAAAGCAAAATGAAAGAAAGAAAACAAATAGGCAGTAAAGACAGGAAGCAGAGAAGCAGAGGAGCAGAGGAGCAGGAAGTAGAGCGGCAAAAAAAACATGACTGAGGAAAAGAAAAAGTAGAATAGTAGTAGTAGAAGTAGAAAGGCATAGAAGCACAAAAGCAGAAAAGCAGAGAAGCAGAAAAGAAAAGAAGCCGGTAAAGCAGAGAAGCATGAAAAGCAGAGAAGCAGGAAAAGCAAAAAGCAGGCAACGCAAAAAGCAGAAAAGCAGAGAGGTAGACAAGCAGAGAAGCAGCAAAAGCAAAAGGCGGACAAGCAGAAACGCAGAGAAGCAAAGAAGCAGAAAAGCAGAACGGCAGAACAGCAGAAAGCAGAGAAGCAGGAAAGCTAAAGCATAGAACCAGGAACCAAAAAAAATCCGAAACCTGCCGCGGAAACAAAATATCAATCCCAAGGAATTTAATGAATTTCATGGGGGTCCGGAAAGCAGATCCAGGGGGTCAAAAAAGCAAGGTGGGGGGTCAAAGAAACAAGGTGTGGGATCAAAAAAACAAGGTGGGGGGTCAAAAAAACAAGGAAAGGGGTCAAAAAAACAAGGTCAGGGTGTCAAAAAAAACAAGGTGGGGGGTCAGAAAAACAAGGTTAGGGGGTTAAAAAAACAGGGGGTCAAAAAAACAAGGTCAGGGTCAAAAAAACAAGGGGGGGGGTCAAAAAAACAAGGGCCCCCATGTCGGCCATCGCGCCCCCCAAGGCCTGAGCAGCCACAGGTGGATGGGGCTACGAGGCTTTTGGTCCTCACGACGGAAAGGGCGTCCGAAGATTTTCGCGAAATGATGATGTGATTTATAGAAAAAAAATGTGATTTCCTCCCCATTTTGTTCATCTTGAGAGACAATGATGTCCCTGAAAAATTCCTTCATTTTCTTGACATGGACCCATCGCTTTCAGCTTCGCACTTCTCCAAGGGGAGGAAATGCCCCTTGGTTCCACATCGCCCATCCTTGTAGGCCACATCGCTACGTCGATCCGCAAAGAAAAGGAGAGAGCTCAGGGACAACACGCTGACCTTGGAAAACCCGGCCCTGGCCGGTGCCTTGACAAACTGTGTTTGAAAATGATCAATAAAAATAGGTGTCCTAAAATAGGTGTTCCCAAATCATCCCAAATTAAAGCATTTAGTATTGAAAATGGCGACTTGGGGATCCCATTTGAACAACCCCCTAGAGAATTCCCCAATCAAACAGGTGGTAGGATGTCGTCTCCGCTTTCAGAACCAATCACGGAAGGCTTTGGTCCTTTATGGTTTGTGCTGCTCAACTGCTGAAGCACAAGGGTTGTTTCGCCTTAAACAACAATGGGAAACCTGGAATCAATCAAACTGGCGATATACCGGCGATCTGCTAAACGAGGATAGGTAGCCTTATATACCCATGGCCTTTTCATGGGACACCTCCAGAAATGGGTGGCTTCCTACCCAGCAACTGGGATGCTCCTCCAAGTTCACCGCGAAAAGGATTGAATGGTGGATTTGCTTGTTTGCTCTCCAGTGGATTTGATTCCCAAAGGGTAGTCACAACAGGTGCGCAAAGCAGGCGGGTAGCCACGCAATGCACAATCAAAAGATATCGCAAGATGCCGGGCGTCTCTGGAAAAACCTCAGAAAACTCTGCTCGGAAATTTGCTGCTCCCGGAAATCTTGGGACATCACATTGGCTCTGGGTCATTTCATGCCAATTACTTGAGGAATATCAAGAAGTGCGACCACTGAAAAAAATGTTACACCTAGGCCCCGCTTAGTAGAATTCCAAACTAGGCATGTTGATCTGCGGCCCGTTCAAGCAATTAGACTACTGGTTGTTGAGTATACATAGATACGGATTGTGATAGTATATGATAGTCCCCAATGAGTATTGGCTCGTACAACCCTCAAACCAGTCATTAACCAACAGGGGTCTTGAACGTATCAAATAAAAATAATATATATATATATATTGATTAGAGTATATTCCATTATCCCCACTAAACATCCAGGATATATTGCAATTTTGTTGGTTTACGCCACCATTCTTCCCTTAGTGGTTACGTCTCATGTAGATCCCAGATTTGCTGGTGAAATCCATGCGAAAATCACCATGGTTCAAGCAACCTTGTGCGAGATGCGCATCAAGACATAGCTCACAATGGGAGCAGTCCACAGCAAGCTTCGGCCGAGGTTGGCACAAACGCAGCCTGCGCCGGGCAAAGCGGTGCTCCCGACTTCACCATCAAACATATTGATTTAAGATGATTTAAGCATCAAGTATCAACAGTTGGGATTTAGACATGGAAAATGGGAAGATAGTGGAGATATGTTGAGATATGTAATGGGATTTTCACCAACCTACAATACCTATATTTGTTTGCTGGTTTATGTTGACACCCCTTTAACCAGTTCGATATATACTAACCATAGAATTCACCGAGTGAAATAAACCAATTCAGCTATCGTTTGGGGGGCCCACCTTGTAGTTTCACTCTGGTCAATGGACTGAATTTCACGGGATATTCATAAGGAAACACGATGAAACACGATGAAAAGCTGGTCTGTGGTTGATACAGGCCCTGAATCTTGGATCGTCCCGGGTAGGGGCAAAGATTGGAAACCCCCAGCTGCTGTCGTTTCACTCCCTTGAATATCATCATCCCAAACATGGATAGAACATGATAGAAACACATACCATCCGGTTTCTCCGGTAATCTATTGTGGCGATTGACTCAATTGACAATCCCCTATAAAAGGAGGCATAAATGGAGGCTTTTCATGTGAAAAGCAACTATAATGATGGATTTTGCAGCAAACCATGTTTGAAACCGTCAACGGAAGATGGAACAGGACAAACCTTGGGTTCCTTTCTGGGGGAATTTCATCTCACACCCTGTCTCAGGGGAATGGGTTTTATGAGTCTTTCTGAATATGGGGTACAGCACCCCAAAATCACATGGTTTATCATACTGTTCGGGTCAAAGTTGTTACTTTAAGAAATATCAGAATATCTTCTATTTTCAGACACAACCATATTCTTATAGTGTATATAACTTACATAAGCATGCAGTATACAGTAATTTCTGAATGGATCAAGAATTCCCACTATTCTCAACTGCAATATGCTGGAATCCAAAGCATTTGGCGCCACGGCCTAGGCCCACTTTGGAGATGGCTGGGCCGCACGTGTACACCCGCGCCCTGAGGTCCAAATGATCCGACAAATGTTTGACGCAAAAAAAAGGGGGATATATGGGGATATTGTGGTTAACTAAAAATGGATCTAACAAACAAAAAATGGATTTGACTATTTTGACTATCAAACATATAGATGTGTTGCATGGTGTGTCTTGCGCCAACAGAATTGTGATTGGCATTCTTGAGCCGTACAATAAAAAGAAGGATGCCCGAAAACGGCCCAAAATCACCAGTGAATAAGTGTCCAACCATGTCTCACCTGTGAGATTTTAACGTGTTTCTGTCTTTCCCCATGTCAAAATCATTCCCCAGCTGCCAAGCTGCAACGTCAGCAGCAGCGCATGCACCGGCGCCAGCAGGCCCAGGGTACTGAAGCGGACCGCCGGACCGTGTCCGGCCAAGGTCTCTTCGGAATCGTCCTCGGGTTCCTGGGGTGATTTTGGCGATTGACGGTGAGCAATATTTATCTTGGAGCATGCACGCTAACCTGCCAAAAGAGGCGCAAAAGGTTCAATATGTTTCAATTTCATTCAATTTCTATATACACTCTTCTAGGATTTTGTTTCAGTTTGTAGTTCTTGGGGTTCGGATTGCTATCTTTGAGAAATGATTGGTGGTTGCCAAAAAAAAAACTGAACATTCGGAGAATGAATTGAATGAACAAAAAAACACGTTTTGAATTTCCATAGAACCAAAGACAACATATAGGAATTCACTCCCCAGGCCTGGTTCTTCCTATAACCACCAACTTATATGAATAGTTAATTGGGGGTCAAGCAACCCATCCTCAAATCTATGAAGCACAACTGGGGTCAATCATCTGAACTATTGGATGGCACCTGCACCTGCCACTTCCTATGGGCAACATTATCTCGGATTTTGAGTCTTTGTGAACCCGGAAAATGATGGTTAATCATGGTGAGTCGATCGGTTTTTCCGGGGTACCCATGGGTACCCTGTTTCCAGACCCATTTGAGGTCCGGTCCCCTGCCACCACGCAGAGCGCGGCGAAGAAGAGTAAGGAGTGCAGCAGCCAAATCCTGGCTGTGGCTGGAGTCATTTCGTCATTCCAACCGACGAAGCAAGGTTTCTGCATGTTCCAAACCGTGGAAGCTGTAATCTTGAGAACATGGCTCCGAAATTCCTCAGTATTTTGTGCCAAATTCATCACGCAATGTATGCAATGCATGCCTCTTGTGGGATGCAGCAGAAAACAAAAGTCGTGAGCAGCCAGAAAATGGAATCATTCATGGGCTTCCCATGCTTTCCACACTTTCCCAGTGCCTGCGTCAGCAAGGCCCCACCGAATGAGCCGGCCAACTTCTCCCACCTGCTGCAAACTATCCATGGCATTCCAGGATGCCACAAGGCCTGACTTTGGGTCAAAAATCAGCGCCTGCAGCTCTGCATTGAACTCCTCGACGTCTTCGATCTTGCCAAGAATCAGCTCCTTGTCCTTTTCGGATGAAGCCTCCATGCTGCGAACATCCAAGTTCTCCAGGGTCCGAGCTCGTTGCTGCATGGTGGCCTTGGACAAGAGTTGTAGCGATTGAGTCATGTCCAGTCGTTTGGCCTCGGCAATTTCGGCCACGCACCAGGCACGGTGAAACAACTCAAGAGACTTGTCTACTGCAATGACTTGCCTGCAGGTTCCTGTTGTGGCGAGGTGGTGCATCATGTCATCAAACTTATTGATCTCTGAAGAGGTACTGCGGCCATCGGGATCAGAGATATTCACGCAACTGCATGTGCACACTGGATGCAGTTCATGTGTGAATGGATCACGGTCGTAAGGATTGCTATGGCAAATGCTGCTGTGCTGGTTCACAGCAAATGCGCAAATCCAGTATGTGTCATCCAGGCGACTGCTTTTGCCCAAGATCTCCGAAAGAAAGAAGCAGTCATCCTCAAGCAGCTGCGCTACCATTCTGAAGCTGCATTCCCGGAGAGCATCCGAGACAACAGCAGCCAACAGGTCGTTGAAACTGTTGCCCCAATTGTGGGTCACCATGATCTGGGCTCTTTGAGAACCATCCCTGTTCAAAGATGAAGTCGCATATGAACATTCCTCCCTACTGGTGAGAGGAATGATAACCCTGCGGACCACATCTCTGGTCTTGTGATCCTGAGGGGCATATCTCCAGTCGGGTATGGAAGGGAGGTTCGCCTGATAAAAATGCAAGAGGCTGCGCAAAGTCATGCCCCGCACTGACAGCTCTTCAACTTTGTCTTTCCATGCGGGGCACCAGTCAGTTTCCTTGATTTGCGGAGGCCTGGTCTGCTTGCACGGCAGCGATTGACAGCCTTGGTAGGGTGCCTGGCCTGCCTTCTTTAACCTATGGCTTCCAGACAGGATGAGCACTGCGACCGCATTCCCAAGAACATCAATTGCCTGAATGACAACGCAGGCAGCCTGAAAATTTGACAGTTCTTGGTCTTGGGACGCAGAAGAAAAACCCATTCCCAATACAACGAATGGGATGACCAAGATTGTTAGAACGAGGCTGAAAGAAACACCGGTCATTTGTAGGGCTGCAAAGCGCCGGGCTCGTCTCAAAGACGCCCTTGCAGCAACTGATGCATCTTTGAGCTCTGCAACGTGCAAGACCCTCCGCAACTCAAGGAAAGACTTGGTTAGGGAGCAGGCCGCCAGCATGTTTGCAACGACATTGAGAAACACAGTCAATGCTCCCAGAAACACGGCAAAAAACAACATAAACAAACCAATATCAATATCAATAAAGACATCAAAGGCGTAGCTGACGCCCCAACCACAAACGAAAAATGCAGTCAGAAAGGCACCACAGGCTTGAGCTCGAAGGAGTGTGTAAACGGAGCAGCTGCCGTACTTCTGATTTGAAGACTGCTCCAAGAGATCCAGTCGCGAAGCGATGAGCTTTTGCATGAAGAACGAAGCAATCAAATACAGCAAACTCCTGCACGCTGTAGAGGCTACCAAAATAAATGGAAAACCACCACCTATACAGTTACACATCATTGGCATCAGTCCAGTCAATCCATATGCGAACCCGGCATAGTGCAAGTTCAAGCTCATCGAGGCAAGAATCGATTGAAACCAGTTGATAATGGCATAGCCGCTGGCCAACCCGACATGAGCTGAAGCTCTGGCCCTTTTGATCAAAAAGGCAGCCACACAACCACAGCCCAAACTGGCCAGCATCATACCACTGAAGCACAGTCTGTAGTGCTGCAGCAACATGTCATCAACGTCACGCTTGTACTGCACAGGAAACAGCACGGCCGTAGCTGTGGCATTCACCAGGAAAACGGCAAAGTACCACCCAGGCCGCCATCGCTGCCAGTGCTTCAAGGAAGCAGAATTGCCTGGATTAAATGTGCTTGCAGCGCCCGAGCCCTCGTCGGAACTCTCCGAGTTTGCCATGCAAAAGGAGTCAAAAGGATTGCAGCCAAAGGAGTCAAAAGGATTGCAGCCAAAGTGGCTTCAGCCGAAATTCAAACATCCAAGAATATCCGCGGCTGATTATCCCTGCAAATATATAGATATAATTTAATAATCTATGACGAAACCAGAAAATCCAAAGGCTGTTTGAGGCCGTATATATATATATAGAAATTGTAGTTTGCTGCAGCCCTTTTTGTCAGGCATCGTTTGTGTGCTTGGTCACTCAATCTCTCACCAGCCAATGTCATGAAGTTGTTGCAGCTGTGCCAAAATATTGTAGATGGGTTACGGTCAGCCCATTTTTTTGCCACACATGCCATTGTCAGTTGTTCTCGTAATACATGTGCGATCATTGAAATTTACAAGTATAATTCCCCTATCATGGTAGAATGGCCATCCCTCGATATCGTGTATACTCCAACTGTAGATATGAAAACTTGAGAGGGGGAACACGAAAGGTAGGTGAGCAAGAAAGGAACCGAAGAAAAAACGAATGGCCGGACGGAAAAGCTTCGGCGGTGTGGTTGGGGTTGGTGGTGGTGTTGGTGTTGGTGGCGTTGGTGGTGCTGGTGTTGTTGGTGTTGGTGTTGTTGGTGTTGGTGTTGTTGGTGTAGTTGGTGTTGGTGGTCTTGTTGGTATTGTTAGTGTTGCTGGTGTGGTTGGGTTTGTTGGTGGTGCTGGTAGTGTTGGTGGTGTTGGTGGTGTTGGTGGTGTTGGTGTTGTTGGTCGTCTTGGTGGTGTTGGTGTTGTTGGTGCTGTTCGTGGTGTTGTTGTTGTTGCTGCTGCTGTTGTTGTTGTCGTTGTCGTTGCCGTTGTCGTTGTCGTTGTTGTTGTTGCTATTGTTGTTGTTGTCGTGGTTGTGGTTGTTGGTGTTGGTGTTGTTCTTGTGGTTGTGATCGTGATTGTGGTTGTGGTTGTGGTTGTTGTTGTTGTTGTTGTTGTGGTTGTGGTTGGTGTTGGTGTTGTTCTTGTGGTTGTGACTGTGATTGTGGTTGTGGTTGTTGTTGTTGTTGTTGTTGTTGTTGTTGTTGTTGTTGTTGTTGTTGTTGTTGTTGTTGTTGTTGTTGTTGTTGTTGTTGTGTGTTGTTGTGTGTTGTTGTGTGTTGTTGTGTGTTGTTGCGTTGGTGTTGGTGTTGTTGTTGTTGTTGTTGTTGTTGTTGTTGTTGTTGTTGTTGGTGTTGGTGTTGGTGTTGGTGTTGGTGTTGGTGTTGGTGTTGGTGTGGTGTTGTTGTGTTGTGTGTTGTTACCCTGCAGTTGTTGTTGTTGTTGTTGTTGTTGTTGTTGCTGTTGTTGTTGTTGGTGGTGGTGGTGGTGATGGTGGTGGTGTTTGGTGTTGGTGTTACGGGTCCGGTTCCGTAGTGGCCGAGAATCGTCAAATAGGTGGTGTTTCGCGTGTTTTTGCAACTCTCGGACCAACAAACACTGTAAATACCGATGTTTTGGCGGGTCGGAAGCTCAACACCACGGTATGTACGATGTTTTTTGCCTCTGGTAGCAAAAAGCACGGTATTTACAATGTTTTTTGCCCACCACCTAGCAAAAACACTGGTATTTACGGAGGTTTCACCATGTAACAAAATGTGGTTTCTTGATCCGAAAAGAACAAAAATACTGTAAATTACAATGTTTTGAGTCTGCTCTTAGGGTGCGTGGGAGGCGTGGAGGGGGGGGGTACTGAAATGACTAGCAATCTCCTGAATAATCAGGTAACGGGGCTGGCCGCCCTCCCCTTTACTTCGTGAAGCAAAACTCAAGGTAACCCCACTGGAGCTACCTTTCGTGATATGAGCCATGGTCAATACTCACTATATGGTTATTATAAATCCCTATGAACCATTGGATGACTAGCCCCTATTAATGGTTATTAACCATGAGTATTGACCATAGCTCATATGGTTTTACCATGGTTAAAAACAGGCTTTGTTCATCACGCTGCACGGTGGTCACATTCTCACCATTCCATCACGACGCGGCGTCCTGTGGGTTGTTGCGAAAACGCCCCAGAAGGAATGCACCTGACAGCATCGGCTTTTTTCCCAGAAGTTGTTCCCCATCGTGTGTACAGCAACAAAACTGGTGATATAAGAGAAATATCATGGTGATATCATGGGGATATTCTAGTTAGTGTATATAACTATATATAACATACTGTATATAACATTATATAACCAATATATATATATTTATTTATTCCGATGTTTGGAGGTGTCTGAAGAAAGGGTATACACCGCAAGTGGTTACTTCGACAAAAATATGACGACAAACCACTGGATTCGAAGTGGATCGTATTTCCAGTCAAACCGAAGTGGATCAGAAACAAGTGATAGAAACTGGTTGGTGGTTTCAGCCACTATGAAAAATATGAGTTCGTCAGTTGGGATGATTATTCCCAATATATGGAACGTCATAAAATTCATGTTCCAAACCACCAACCAGGAAACTAGTTTCTTTCAACTCTTTGTCGCTCCAATGTTGCTACTTTTTTTTGAAAGTGTGTGCATTCTTTCGACCAAATTGTTCTTCCTTCGAACACAAATCATGAAGCCGATTGACAAGGACCATGATTGGCCCATTTGAGCTGTTTCTTTGATGAAAAGTCCTGGCATCTGATATATATATATATATATATTAATATATGGGCAAATAGTTATATTGACCCCTCTGTGACCTCACTGGCATCATGGTTAGGACTCTACCCAGCCATCCACTTGGTTTCTAAACAACCCATGCAGTCTCCGTTGGAAACCTGATTGATTCTCCTATTGTTAAACTGCGAAAGTTATCCCATGTTTTGCGAATGAAATTAATATTCCCCAGTTTTGCTGAAAAAAAACATGTTTAGACTTAGAAACTCTGAAGCCACTTTCTGGCGCAAAGAGATCCCTTCCATTCGCCCATTCACTTCCCCGTCTGATTCCGTGATATTCCGTGCACCTCGCGATGCGATTTGGTCTTCTGACTACTCAGAATCTTCTGCAGGTTCAACTCCTAAATCGCTCGAAGAGGTCGCGGGAAGAGGGGTGGTTTCATCCCCAACTGGCCATCTGGTTATGACTAACATAGCGAACTGGAAAATCCCAACCATAAATGGAGGTTGATGTCGCTAGGAAAATTATCTATTTCGATTAGGGCCATCTATACCATAGCTATGTTAGTCATAACCAGAGGGTAAATTCACATCAGCGTGATGATGTCATGAAAAAACACCCCAAACGAAACCATGCTTTAGTAGGGGATGAAACCACATATTTGGGATCATGTATGGAGTGTTTGATATTGGGGGGGTGAGATTAATGAGAGATGAAAGATAACATATTTAAAACTATATATATATGTGTATGTATACAAAAAATGTGTATAATATATATATATATATTTGTAATCTGTATATATGTAATATGTATATACCTTATATATATATATACATATTACATATGTATATACCTTATATATATACACATATGTATATATATATTATGTATACATATTATATATATATATTATATACGCACGTATAATAATATGTAATATGGGTGCGAGTCAAACATCTGGTATGGATCATGGTGATCCAAGCCACATGTTTTTCAATCGCAACCATGTGTATACATACATTGGTATATATATATATATGTATATATTATATCCAAATGTATGGATGAGATACACCACCCATCCGCTGATCCATCCCATTCAGCGGCGACCGCACCTGGAACAAAGCAAAGCGCTTGCCGTGTTCCGCCTCAAAGAGTCGTTGCATGCCTTGGCGCAATCGCTTTGGGTCCGCGAAGAACTCGTTCCAATCATCCTCAGGACGCATGAAATGGGCCATGGGAGCAACTAAGTTGTTGTAATCCATGAAATATATTGAAAGATCTAATTTATAACCATATAGCCAGTTGAAAGATGTTAAACGGGGATATGACCCATTACTAACAAGCTGACTAAGTCAGTTGACCAAACTTGAGAGAGAGAGAGAGAGAGCTTGAGAATGCTTGGGACACTTGGTAGAATAACATTCAATTGTGGGGTCAATATGCCTGAGCAACTCTCACTTAGATGATCATTCCACTTGGACAGTAGTTGCGGACTAAAGTTTATAAGGCTACACCACGATACAAAGCCGCGAAGGATTTCCGTCAATGGTCAATGTGGGGTCTTTCAAAAGCATCCTTTAGATTCAATCCATCTGTGAATCACCAATTGGTCGCTTAGGTTCCCCAACTTGGGTTGCTTAAATCTACTGTAAATCTGCAAAGCATTGTTGCTAAAATCCATGCTATTCTGGTTGGTGGTTTTAACCATCTTGAAAAATATGAGTTCGTCAATGGGAAGGATGACATCCCATATATGAAATGGAAAATAAAAGCCATGTTTGAAACTACCAATAAGTATCAGGGGTTGGTAACTGTCCCATTTTGGGAATATTGGACATCACCTTATAGTAGCCATTATAGACCATATACCTAATGGTTGGGTGATGTTCATTGGGGACATTTAATGACCCATGAGTGTTGTCATTGTTTTCCCCAACGGGTGAATCCCCACACCAAGCACCCCAGCAACCCCCAACAAAAAACTGCTCGCTTCTGAATGTGGAATTCATCTCTCTAAGCCCCACATGAATTCCTTCATCTGTAGCATTCGCAAACAGCTGAAGTGAAGCGATAATGCTAACCGGAAACCATGCTTTTAATCACCAAATACGGAGGCTTCCATAGATTTCCTGCATTTCCTCGACCCTGAAAAAAACACTTCTGGGGTTCACCGTTTTTTTTCCAAAAGTAAGTTTGGCCATTTTGGGATAGTTACCCGTACAGTCCCGTACATTCCCCATCATTCCAGAGACGTCGCTGTGACGTCGTCTTTTTTTATACATATGCAATATCCAATCAAAAAATGTTATCTATCGCCATTCAAATAAATTTTCCACAGTATGTCCCATGATCTAGATTTCATGAATAAAATGATCATTTTCTCCAGATATATCGCCATTTTATATATTTTATATTCCATCCATATAATCTATTCGTTCAATTATCATGATGTTGTTGCCTTGTTGCTTCATATTGCTTCATATCTTTACGACAAATCCCGCCCGTAGCCGACCGGTTCGCAATCCCAGGCGCATAGTTGCACACGTCAGGCGGCAAGAACGCCTGGCGCCATGGGCCCCATGGGCAGATCATTTCTTTGAGCTACCCAACTTGCCACGGATTGGAATGGGGTGGTTTGCTCAGGACTCTAGGACCCTCCAAAACAATCGAATGGATTATTCCATAAATTAGGGGCTAGGCCAATCCCCAATTTTTTGAGAGACAAACCCTTGAATATCAGAATCTATACATAATTACATATACATATTACATATCATATACATATTACATTTCATGGCCAATCTTCGATCATGTTTTGTACATAGAACATTCCAACATAGCAAAAGACGGATGAAACTACCTTGGTGAGGCCCGCATCCCCTCTAAGATCCTCCATACATCATAGTTAACCATAGTTAACCAATGAAAAAAAAAACAACTTTATACAACTTTGCTATCTTAAATCCAATGTTTTCCTATGAAATATATCATTAAACTATCATATATATATATACTGTATCCCTTGCAATTTCATTAAATCACCATTAAATCACCACTAAATCCCATTAAATCCCATACATCACCATTAAATCCCATACATCACCATTAAATCCCATTCAATCACCATTATCACCATTAAATCCACAATTGTTTTGCCTCACTTTGTAGCCATCCGTTCTTGCTTTTCCCACGTCGGCGCACCTCAAAGCCCCGATGGAAGGTGGGTAACTTCTCCCGCACGTCGGGCAACACGCCGTTGGCGCGATCCTGGACGGTTGGCGTTGGGCGTTTGGTGAGGATCATATCCCATAGGATCCATGGTGCTGGTATATCTGCTAACATTTGGGGTATATTAATGGTAAATGTTACCATATATGTTACCATTTGGGGTTTGAAACCAGTAACCAGGTTTAATAATCAGTGAGCCCCTCTGAAAAACCAGTGAGCCCCTAATAATGGTTTTATATGTTTCATATTTGTTTGGTGAGGATCATTTTACTGGTTGGTGGTATACCTACCCCTCTGAAACATATGAAAGTCAGTTGGGGTGATTATTCCCAATATATGGAAAAACAAAAAATGTTCCAAACCAGCAACCAGGTTTAACAATATGGTTGTTGGAAAACCATGATGGATTAATATGGTCTAACCAACATGGTTTAATATGTATTTTTTCAAATTATCACCACTCCTTAATATGGTTTAATCATCCCCTAAATTTATGGACGGTTGATATAATCGAAAATCCTACTGTGGATGGTTGCGAAATCCTGCACCACCAAAAGGATGGTTGAAACCCAAACTAAATACATAATGGGATGTTTACCATCTATCAACTGGTGCAGGATTTCGCAACCATCCACAGTATGGTTCAATAATATGTCACAGGGATTTTTCAAATTATCACCACTCCTTAAATCTCCTTAATATGGTTTAATATGATTTAATAATATTGGTGATACCAAACATCAGACTGTTGGAAAACCATGAAGGATGTGTTAATATGGTTTAATAGGGATCACATTGGGATACTAATGGGATAATCATAGGATAATCATAGGATATTAATGGATGTACCCTCCGGTAATCAATCATTGCTAGCTGGGAAATCATCTATAAATGTGGTATTCTCAAGTGTCACGATTGATTCCCAGAGGGTACACCCTGAAAAGCCACCAGTTAAAAGCCATCACTTCAAGTTAGGGTATGCCATTAGAAATCACCTGGTTGGTGGTTGACCTACCCCTCTGAAAAATGATGGACTTCGTCAGTTGGGATGATGACATTCCCAACTCAATGAAAAAATAAAAGCCATGTTCCAAACCACCAACCAGATTAATATGGTTGGTATTTATATGACCAATCATTAGTAATTGGTGGACATATCCCCATTGTATTCCTCATTTGAGCCATTGAAAATAGCACTATCCCATCTCTTTATACTAGTTGGTTCATAGATTTCCCTACTATGGGGTTTTATCATCCCCAATTACTGTAATTAGGTAATATAAAGTCCCTATATTAACCAATCAGGGTACTATCCAGTATCATCCCTTATATGGATGTTTTATAGATGATTATCATACAGTATATGAAACGTTCCCATTACACTATAATGATTATATGTGTATATTTTTCTAATATATATATATATATATGATTATCATATATGATAAGTATTATCTACTATGACTATGGGTAATTCGTAGTTTTATCCCCATGAAAAATCAACAGTTTTTTTCTAATTTTAGCACGTTGATTCCCCCTTCCCCTTCCCTTGAGTCCTCCATGCTGATGGTCTTGAACTCCAGACCCTGCCGTGCGAAAATAAGATTTTTGGGATTTCATGGAGGGATCTAATGGAATTTATATGGGATTTTCTATACATATGGATTTTAGATCAATTGGATTTTGTTTTATGAAATTTCTAGGGGATTTTTCAAGGGAATTCATCGATTTAATGGGATGCAACGTTTTTTTTTGTCGGGGGGAGATTCAATGGTGAAATAAGAACAATCCAACGGGCCATTTATTGGGATTCAATGGAGAGGACATGTGAATCATCAAATACCCTCTGGTAAATTAACATAGACCCGGAAAATCTCCATTTTTTAGAGGAAACTAATCTTCCAACCCCTATCTACCAGGGTCTATGTTAATTTACTGCAGGGTATATGGGCAGCCGTTTTCAGACAAACCCGTGTAGACTCTGCTGCTATGAGCCAAGCTGGGAAAGAATGAGCCATGATTTCCATAGCCCTATCACATCCAATTGGTATGCTACCTGGTAGCATAGCCAGGTCCTGGTAGCATAGCCAGGTCCTGGTAGCATAGCCAGGTCCTGGTAGCATAGCCAGGTAGCAGAACCAGGCTTCTGCCATCACTATATATCAGTAGAATGATGCTTTGATGTTAGATAATGTTCGTAAAGCAATGTGATAAACCACAGGTATGGATTGATGGTTTATACAACCCATTTATAGTAATTTGAAAGGGATGGTTTACTATTGCTCTAGTAACATGATTATGTTTATTGACCCATACCCATGATTGATGTGATCATGAGCAGGCAAAAGTTCTCTTTCCGGGCTCTCTTGTCGCCTGGTACCACTCGTCAAAGATGCAGTTGTAACTTGGACGAATCATTCCTGAGAAGCAACGTGGTGTCAACTCATTCCGGTTCATCAACCCAAATAGGACATAGGAGCAAACAAGAAAATAGTATGCCGCAAACACTATATTATAGAGAGTCATTCGGATTGCAAAAAGAGTTTCTCTAAAAAATGTGGTTTGCAGTCGGCATAAAAACAAATGCAATCGGCAAGGGTTCACAATCACACACAACACAAACTCTGAACGGTTTACAAAAGGTTTCATGTATGTAACACATGAACCTGTTTGGGATGGTCGGGCCACTGGGTAAAAATCTTGGAACTAGAGATTTCTTAGGTTCCAAAGAAATGAACGTGTGAGGGTTCGCCAAACCCCATTCATGGAAACCCCCATGAAGGCCACAATTCAGTGTGAAGACCCCCCACACCAACCCAGCCTGGGTTGGCCCAAAGAAAGCTGCTTAACAAGGGCCATATGGAGGTTTCCTAAGTCATGGGGGTGTCCTCAAATGATCCAAAATAGACCATTTTAGTAGTGAACCTATGGTGACTTGGGAGAATCCCCCATTTAAAGAAACCATCAATATAACCTACTATGAACCAACCAACGAGTGAGAAGCGGAGTCAACTGAGGTTCCCCACGCGACAGGAAAAGGCCACTGCTCGGCCGAACCTGGCCACGGCGAAGCGAACCGCGAACCATGCGAACCGGTGATCTTAGGATAGGAAAATCATCCAAACATGGGATCACTGGTGGTTTTACCTTCACAATGATCTCGTTTCCACGAACCAAAAATGGTGTTGGAGGAGGAATGTTGGGGGAAGCATATTCAGTTGAGCTGTGTTTTTTTTGGTTGTCTGGGCCCTTATAGCCACAAGCAGGTGGACAGCGAAGAACATCAAGACTCCAGTTGGCATGGACAGCTAGCGGTCAAGCTGCTCCGCTGCCCTTGTATAGCTGCTCTGCCAGGCGGGTTCCACGGTTTGCTTGTATAGACGACTATCCATGAATGAACCTGGTGCCTTTGAACCTTTTGTGGATAACATTGGGTCAATTTTACACCGAAAGCAACATCCAGTTTAAGCTGCAGATAAACCCCTTCATGTTCAAAAAAACGTAGCTCAGTTGGGAAATGGATGTGACAAAGCAACCAGAACATGTTACCAAGAACAACCTCCAAAAAAACAAAGGTCTCACAATTTTAAAATTTGTGTTTGACCAGCCACAAAAAGGGTGAACCGCATACTAATTCGGAGATTCTACATACTGTAGACAAAAGGTCAAAAGAGAGCGACATCTGGGTTCCTGTTCAATCCTAAATCTAAGATCAAAACCATTATAGTTCCTATTCAAATGTAAGGTAATTCTTTGTTGCAAAGTTGTTGTTCCAATCAAGTCCCCGGAGAAGAATGGAATTTTAGTTGGGGCTTTCTGGGAAATACAGTTTTAGATGTTTTGAGAAGATGAATTGAGGCATTTATTGTGTGATTTGTCCCCAACAAAATGGTGTTGGTATTATTATACATAATATATATGTATTATATATATATATGTATACAACCCGCACATGGCTCCCTGATTTAGCACTGAATTGCTCTTCATGACTTGGGGTTCTTGTCATGGGGGAGATGTTATATTGGCTACAGTATATCCCTATGCAGGAAGATTAAACACTGTTAAGAATTGATGCTAAAATCACCCTTGTTCATGGGCAAATCTCAATTGTTGATGGTGAAATCGGTGAAATCCGGATTTGTCTTGGTTCAATCCCCCTTTTCCTTGTTAAATCCCACCATTTTTGTTGGTGAAAATCCCACCAGTTCAACATTGGCGCTTAATTAATGGACCTATCACGCAACCGTTGCCTGCTGTTGTTGGTACGGCTCTCCTTCTGCTCCCAGGGTCAGCTCCGTGAGAAAGTAGACGGCTTCAGGCCTGGTCCAACGTGACTACATCTGTCTATAACATGTATCATATATATTTAATTATGATTATATGTGTCTACCGTCATATCCTGACTATCTGTCTATATATATGTCTATATATATATAACTCATATATATATATATGTCTATATATATATATGTATATGTCTTTATATATATATATATATGTCTTTATATATTAATATATGTCTATATTATATGTATAATTGTATGTATATATATATATATACATATATATATATATGTATGTCTAACTACTGTATTCGAATCTAATCTCATCTAATCCAACCCTATCCTATCCATGAGGACTTGTTCCACTGCCACAAACCATCCCCAGGTGTGACATTTCCCACATCACAGTAATTAATGTGTTTCCTGTGGGTTGAACATAGTTGAACCATTCATTCAACTGAGCCATTGAAAATACCCCTATCCCATCTCATTATACTAGTTGGTTGATAGGTGTCCCCATTATGGGTTATCATAATCCCCAGTAAAACGGGTAGTACAATCCCCTATAGCAATCAATTAACCAGGGTATTTTTAATGGCTCAACTAACTACTCTTTGGGCTCCTCATTTCACCAACTCGGTGGGGGCTATCCTCCAACAAACCAGTTGTATCTCCCCAGCAACGGTTCGACCGCTCAACAAAAAACCATGCCACATGAAGCGCAGATTGCCAGCTTCGCCCCACACCAGCAAGTAAGTGGCCTCAGTTTAACATATAAATAGAGGGGGGGATCCCAGGCTCAAGCTGAAATCGCCATCATTTGATGTTAGTTGATGCGTTTTCTGGTGAAATTCTACGGTTTTTTGATGGTTACACTATGCTAAAGTCATCATCAAAATTCCCATTCTATGATGAAAAATCCCCTTTGTTGAATTCTTACATAACACTTGAGGCGTAAATCCTTATTTGTGATGGATACATATCGTTTTTCAAGCAGGTATCTTTCCGTTTGAGCAGGATCAACTCCTGTCCCCGTCAGTTGAAATGTCCCATTTCAAAGTGCTCGAATCTGCCATAAGGACTCAGTACTTCTCGATTTTTTTCCGGATACACACCTGTTATCATCACTAAAACATACCCCATATGCTCCACGTATGAAATATGTTCCAACATTTACCTTTAAAAATCACCCAAATGTAGGCAAATATACCATACATGGAGCATATGGGTACTAAAACAATCTCTGGCGCCCGATTTTTCGATGGAAAGCATTTTTCGGTTGTGCCCCAGGTTGGGGACCCATCACTCCCCCGGAGAGGTCATCAATGGGCTCAGGGGGTTGCCATAGTTATGGGACCCAAAGAGCTGGTTGGTTTTCATGGAGAATCCTGTGAACAATGGATGAAAGAAAGGGGGACCCCGTCATGACTTAGGAAAGCCTCATGGTTTCGAGAAATCCCAAGTTGTTGATGCTCGCATTCCATTTGTGAAGGTGAACTGCTGGTTCAAAACCCGTTTTTTTCCGTGAAATCCACATGTTGCTCTTCAGTATAACTTACTGTACACCCCATCTTTGTTGGTGATTTCCCCCGAAAACCAAACTGTCAGTTTCCCCACAAGTCCTATGTTCATGGTTTTACCATTATTTGCTAGTATATAGAGGTACATCATTTCCCATATCTGATGATTTGAGTATCCGTTCACTAGCTACGAGTAAATTCTCATTCTTTTAGATTCTGATATATTCCCAATGGTTGTCCCAACAAAATCCCAGGTTTATCATAGTTTATTGGTAATAAAAAAATATAAAAATGTCATAAAGTATCCCCACCCCCCACATTCCAAAATCTTGTTCACATCACTGTGACTACGCGTTTGATGTGTAGGCGTTTGTTGATTAGCTCCATGAATCCACAACCCTCCATGTTAGATGCCATTTTCTCAAGTACAAATGCTCAATGTTGACAAAATTATGTTTAGATACTCCCTAATATCGCATAGCCCATGGCCGCCAAACTAAAAAAGCTTGCTTCCAACATATTCCGACCATTTCAAACCATTCATGGCAAAAAATCTGTGTTCCATCCAGTTAGTAGACCCAGAAATTAGTATGTTCACCCGGCACCACAGAAACAACGAGTGATGTCACCTAGTTTTGAATGGATGATCGCGAAATAACTAGCTCGATCTACCATGAACACCCAATGGTTGACCTAGTTACACAACAATATGGAAAACAGTTTAGCTAATGTTCAGTAAATCCCATGAAATCCCTATTTTTGGTTGGCCAAATAACATCAAATCACCATACATGGCCACAACAAAAAAGTTCTAGAAAATCCCATTCTATCCCATTCAAATCCATTGAATCCCATTAAGACACGTTATATAAATCTTCCCTAAATGTGGATATCCCAAAATTGTTGATTTATAAGGGCAAATCCTATTAAAATGGATTTGGGGGTACCTCCATTTCAGGAAACCTCCATATAAATCCGAAAACATAAATCCCATCATAAATCCCATCATAAATATTCATGCATAAATCCTAGAAAAAAAACTCCCATTTCAACCACCAACAAACACCTACCCTACCCTACCTCCTCCCTGTTTAACCCAGGCACCACCTCCGCCAGGTGTTTGCTCGCCAGGCTGGCGGCCAGCTTCCGGCCCCCAAGCGTCTCAGCGTCCAACCAGTCGCCGTTGGGCACCGGGAAGACGCGGTTAGGGACGCCCAACACGGCCGCCGTGGTGCGGCTCAAGGGCTCCTGGTTGAAGTTGTACCCTCTGGTTATGTCAAAATAGCTATTGAACATGGCAATTTATAGTTGATTTACCGGATTTACCCATTAAAAATTGTGATTTTCCATACGTATGCTAGTTTACCAGAGGGTAATACTAATACTAATACTAATAATCATATAGTTGACTTTTAATAGTTGACTTATACTACATAAATAATTAATACATAATAGTTGGCGTATCATAAAGTTTGAAACTTGGGTATCTAATACTTGACTTATACAACATAAATACTACATATGTCTATTAATATTATTATCATATTAGATACCCCCATCATGGTTGACGGTGGATCTTCTCATCTAACTAGTGAGCCCGAGCCACGCCGCTGTTGATTGATACCCTGAGTGAGAAACCCTTTTTGTTCAAGTTCTATCTAACAAAAAAACTATGACATATGTAGTATTTATGTTGTATAAATCATGTTCTTATTATTAAATCATATTAAATCATGTTCTTATGTATAATAAGTTTTGTTCCTTCATAGTTCTTTCCTTTTGTTTGCCACAAGTTCCAGCCTTTCCATGTGAAATTTCTCCCAATATCACCACGTCGATCCGATACAAACCCAAGGGGTTCACTACATGTACCATCTGGTTATGACTAACAGTTTGCCATGGAAATATCCACCATTTTTAATAGGTAAACCATCTATTTCTATGGGCCATCTATACCATGGCTATGTTAAATAACCAGAGGGTAACATTACTTGGGATGCAGTTCCATCTTGATAAGTGATGATCAGTGGGTATACAACTACAATATGCTTATTGAGCGAAATCACCGTGGTGATACCCAATCATCACCTCTGCACCCTTCGGCCGTGGGAAGGGATTCGTCCAGCATCTCCGCTCCTGCAACTCCTCAGACAAGTTGTAGCGCCATCTGCGAAAAGACTCCAAGAGTTCCGCCTCAACATGTACCATGGGACATCATGGGTCTGTATCTCAATTATTGCTCCATCAAAATATAGAGAACGCACGGGAACGTATACCGCGTATACCCATTCTGAATTAGGTACTAGTCCATCTATCTGAACCTACCAGGCACAGGTCGGCTTACCAGTTTACCTAGAAAGGCACATGTTTTACAGTTCCTACCCCATAATCTATCATGTGTGGTTGGGAAACTCAATTCTTAGCTCCTTGGTTCCCCATTTTTTAGTGGGGAATATGATGGATGCCCATAGTTCCTAACCGCTCCGTCCATTCACCACTAGTCATTCCTGGCTGGCGATACCTTCTGCTAATTCAACATGTGGATTGAATATATAGCCCATATTTTGTTTCGATGATTTACCTATCAAACGGTGGTTTTCCAATATATAGCCCATTTAGTTCGATGATTTATCAAACTATGGTGATTTTCCAGTAAACTCTTACATTTTTCAATCTATGATATCCCCATGTTTCATGGTGACCAATCAAAACCCCCGTTCGATCCCCAGATGGAAATCCTGAGCCAAGGCGCATGCACAGCATTCAAGGCTTCATGAAGGAGCGTCTTCTCATTCACCACCTTGGATCCATGGCCGAGGACAACAACATGGATTTCATGGGATTCTTGATGGAATTTTAGATGGAAACGACGAAGGGATTTTGCACTTAAGGGAGTTATATTCAGTTATAAGTTACTTATAACCTGCGTAAGGTAAGTTATAATTGGATTAAATGTGATAAGTGTTAAATTAATATGTTTGAAATATTGCTTACTTATAAGTTACATATGGACTTATGAGTCATTGAAAGTGGAGCACATGTAAAAAAAACTACGATATGTATGAAACTAGTAAAAAAAAATGTTTTTTTTTGTTAGCCTCTGGATTGCGTTCGTCGGCAGGTACCACAAGAGTGACTTTGAAAGAGCCGTTGTTGACTTGTGCGCGCTGCGTGCCGCATGGGAAAGGTCAGCAGCGGAGTTGTCTTTGCCATACAGCTCTTGGTTTTTCACATTTTTTCACTGTGGAAACGCAAATGGAAGAGATGCTGAGGACATTGTGATGAATGTCCGCGAATGTCCGTGGATGTCCGCGTGTTCTCCACTGAGAAGACCAATGTCCGCGCCTATAAGAGAAGATCAATAGGAATCTGAGAGGAATGTCCGTGGGAAAAAAAATGCTGATGTCCGCGATTGTCCGCGGTGATGGGGGAAAAGTAAAAAAAAACACATAAGCAACGTTTGGGCGCAACGCATCTCCTTTTACCGCGTAAAAACCATTGAATCCAAAGAGATCGTTTCTTTGTTTCTGGACTAAAAGGTCGCAAGAAAAAATGCGAAATGCTGCAAAAAGTGCTGCCACACAAAATGAAAAAACACACAAAAAAGTTAGCCTACTTATAAGTATACTTATAACTACCTCAACTATCATGAAATTATAAGTATGATAACTCACTTATAAGTTCGCTTATAACTAACATAAGTGAAAACGGCACACAAGTAGGTATTTAGGCTGGGAAATCGGAACCTTGTACAGTAGCTAGAGCCTTCACGAACGCCCCTCGGAAGGACTAGCTAGGCCACGCAAGTTGTGTGTGTGTCGATGTCGCCAAGTGCAACGCCTGCCACGCAAAGTTGTGTGGGAGCAAATTGTGTGTGAGGAAGTTGTGTGTGAGCAAGTTGTGTGTGAGGAAGTTGTGTGTGTGGACAAGTTGTAGGTGGACAAGTTGTACGTGAGTAAGTTGTGTGTGGACAAGTTGTGAGTGGACAAGTTGTATGTGGACAAGTTGTACGTGAGTAAGTTGTGTGTGGACAAGTTGTGAGTGGACAAGTTGTGAGTGGACAAGTTGTGTGTGAGTAAGTTGTGAGTGGACAAGTTGTGTGTGGACAAGTCGTGTGTGGACAAGTTGTGTGAGGAGGCGGCGGGAGGAGAAGGCGGAAGCGCGCGGGAGTGCCCAACCAAAAACAAGAACCCCACACAAAGATGTGGGGAAAAACATACATACAAATAAAGACTTATAATGACTTATATATATATATATATAAGTAAAGAATTATGGATATGGGACAATGGAGGTATAAACCAACAAAACTATGGGGATCATTGGGGGGTAAAATTGTTTTTAAAAAAATGGGGAAACCAACCATACTGAGGTTTGAAAGGAATTGTTGGATGGAAAATTGCAGGACACCCATGGATTGTACCCCCAAGTGTGGAGCTTTCCTGTATCATTGAAACCAGCTGAAGTCGTTTTTTAGGAAATGGCGGATGCAACAGAATAGATTGGTAACTAACAACTGGTTTCGGTGAAATCAACTGGAACAATCAGCCAAGGTTGTTTGAACATGGCGTACTATGATGTACTATGCTCCTTTTTATCCGCTGGTTGATCATCATGCTCCCACTAAAATGGTAATGGTTGACAAATTCAACCAAATCAATGGCCATTTCAGGTACCTAAATTGGAGGTACCTATCATATTTATAAGGCCTATTTCTTAGGCCTATGTAAGGGAAAATCCCCACAAAATATGGAATTCCCATTGATCAAACATGACATGCACCAAGTCACGGCATCATCTAAGTCCTCCTCATCATCTACCTTGCAGGCGATGCGAAGCCGTGGCAGGCACGGTTGGGATCCCATCAAGTTCTGCGTCAAAAAACAGGACCACAAGATAGCTCACAAGTCTCTCAACATGTTTGTTCCAACCCCCATTTCCATCCCATTTCCATCCCATTTTCCATCCCATGTTCCAATATTTTCCCATATTTTCCCCATGGTTTCCATGGCGTTCCCCAGGATTTTCCCACCTCCAAATCCAAATCCGCTAAGGTGGCGCAGTGCGAACGCCAGAGTGACAGCAGGTGATCGAACTGATTCCTACGGGGACGTCAACATATCAACCACCATATTAACTTTATATATATATACCATACATATAATAAACTAAATATATATATATATACTATACATATAGAATATATTCCCATGCATTTGTAGTTATATATATATATGATATGTATGGCTATATGTACAGAATGATGTCTTGCTATTGTATATAATATATAGTTGTAGCGTTTTGCAGTATTACCCCAGATATCCCCAGATCCACTGCTGATAAATCTCCCTCCTCTACCCCACTTCGATGGCCCGTGGGACTAGCTCACTCGTTTATAGTCCATCACATACCCCAAGTGTTAGGGAATATGGAATATGTCACCCATTTACGAACTGTTTACGTGCCATTTTCTGACCATTATCTATTTGTACTCAGTCTCCTTGGAGATATTGTAAAACTCATCAGGGGCCTGCAAAAATGGTACCCCTCCGTACCGCCCACTCATTTACCATAGCCATTTGGAGGGATCATTAACCAGTAATTTACTGAATTCACTCGCCAGAACAATACAAACGCAAAACCATGAATAAGCAGTGAAAAAACTCCATATAAAAACAACATATCCATGAAATAACACTCATATGGAAATGGGTCAAAACCTATATATTACCATATTTGGGTAATGAAATTCCATAAACCAGCTATTTAAGGGTACCATTCGGGCACCAGGACCAGAGTTTTGACTCATGGCCATATATTTATATTAAGGATAATAGTAACATCTACTAATCACCCAACCTTCCCATACCGGTGCCCCACAACTTTTTTCTTCGCGCCTCACGTTGTCCGCCTGAAAGTCAAAGCGTCGGTAGAGCTGCGCGAAGAGCGAGGCGCTGCTCTCGGCGAAGTGCGAAGCGCCATAGAGGCCACGGAGGGAGTGGTCCTGGATGGAGCTATAGCAATATTAATAGATAGTTTACTAATATAATAGTAATATGAATAGTTATTAATAATGAAACAATATTATGTTAGTAAACTAATATGAAGTAATAATATATTAGTAAACTATCTATTAATATCTATTAGTAATATCTATTAGTACGAGTAATATCTATTAGTAAAATATTGCGATGGAGTAATATCAAGTAAACTATCTATTAGATACCCAAGTTTCAAACTTGATGATAAGCCAACTATTATATATTAATTATGTATGTAGTATAAGTGAACTATTAAAAGTCAACTAGATTATTATTCTTAGCAATAGTAGTAGTAGTAGTAGTAGTCGTAGTCGTAGTCGTCGTCGTCGTCGTCGTAGTAGTAGTAGTAGTAATAGTAGTAGTAGTAGTAGTAGCAGTAGTAGTAGTAGTATTACCCTCTGGTAAACATACAAAAAAAAGTATGTAAAATGACCATTTTATAGCTGGGTAAATCAACGAACTAAATGGCCATGTTCAATAGCTATGTTTGTTTACCGAAGGGTATCAGCAAGATGTTAGTAATATGTTAATATAAATTAGTAATATCTATATTCATTACTATATTATTTACATTCATTAGAAATATATGTGTATTCATAAGTTGGAACTGAATAAATGGGGTAAATTCTACTAGTAAATCTTTGGTGAAAATGTATGTGGAAGAAAACAACATCCCTCCTTAATATAGTAATAGTTTAACAAGAGTATATGTTCACCTCGTGTTCTATTAGTAATATAAGTAAGACTATCTATTATTAGATTCATATTAGTAATATTTATATTAGTAATATGTGCTATTCACAATATATTAGTATTCATTTATATTTTAGGAATTATCCTGTTGGAACACTAATTACAGTGAATAGTATATATATATATAAATTATGGATTGGTTCTTAGTGAATATTATCCATGAGTGAACAATGTATGAAAAAATCTCATGAACTAGTATAGTCCCAATTAATATCAAAGGAAAACCAGCATTGAACGGATGGTTTTTTATATACCGCAATGCTGGGAAAATGCTGAGAAAATGCTGAGAACATACTGATGGGATGGTGGGGAGATGATTTGTGACATCTTGGGATGCAGGATGGCGGGGAATTATTATTTATTTATTTTTTTTTTAACAGCAACAACTATCTTTGTCCATATCAGTGATAGATGATGTAGATGTATATATATAAATTATAGTGCCAGTTATTTGTGCATTATAAAAGGTTGGTCAATGGGCCGTATATATAGGTTGTAAACATAGTTGGAAGATCATCGGTGAAACGGATCATGGTTGGTAGGCATAGTTTTGTGACATGTGCGCATCACTAATTGATGGTTATGAATGGGGTATCATCGAAGTTAATCTCATGCAAAAAAAACACTCATGCATGAATTCTACTGATTGTACTGACTGAGTAAGACCCCCTTCACAACATTGCCTGCCAACATGACAATAGACTCCCTGATAACACCAAAGTTGAACAAATACCCCCTGGTAATTTAACATAGCTATTGAAAATCACCATTTTTCATGGGAAAATCCACTATAAATGGCCATTTTCAATAACTATTTTGACATAACCAGAGGGTATATCCCATTAAAACCACCATTTTTGTTGGTTAAATCCCATTAAACCACCATGTTTCATGGTTAAACCACCATTAAAACCACCATAGTCATCACGAGAACTCAGCAGACTTTCTGTCACAGACCCCTGAGGGGTTTTGGTTCCTCTAAATCCGGGGAACTGGCGTCGATTTCTTGCCTTTTTTGCCGCCCGGAAGAGCAAACAAACACATCCCACACCAAAACAAACATGACATGAACCATAAAATGGAATGATATTGGTTAATATACTGTTAATATATGGTTAATGATGATGGTTATTATATGGTTATGATGATGGTTAATAATGAACTGGTTGGTGGTGGTATACCTACCCCTCTGAAAAATGATGGAGTTCGTCAGTTAGGAAAATCTTATTCCCAATATATGGGAACAAATATGTCCCAAACCATCCAACCAGACACAATTTGTTTATGCCCACAAGATGCACCAAGATATAAAATTTCCATCCTCATCCATCCGGTCCTTCATCCACATGCGGAAGAGCTCCTGGCGTGTCTGGGAAGAGGTCCTGTTGTCCATTTTTTTTGTTGCTTATACCATGGTTGTTAACTGTCATTGCTACCACCCAATATTGAGAATCCATTGCTTGTTTTTGTCAAATTTTGAAAATCAACTAGCTATGTGTTTATTAGTTTCTGAATGTTTCTGTAGAAATATGGAAATGCTGCTACCTGAACATCCCAAAGTTGTATTTTTTGGTACATGGCTGATTTGAATTCAACAAAAAAATGGTTGTTGAGGCAAAAACGTACTTGTATGTAGAAAAAGTATTGGTTCGTTTTCCTTTGGGTGGACCTGGTGATCTTAAGCGATAGTGTTGGTAGCTGGGGACTCTCAGCGTCTCTAAGGGTGTAAAGCGATTTTGGTCCTGACAGAGTTTGAGTTCCATAGGGCCTTAGGGTTTCCACTCAAACTGCCATCAAATCTGAAGTAAAAGAACTAGACAACCAAGACTACTAAAGCATGACTGATGTACAACCCATGAGGTATAAATGCAACATGACAGTACAAACAAATGGTCGTGCGGATCAAGACCCGTGAGCTTCCCCGTTTGTTCCGCAAATTTCCGCGTTTGTTCGTTCCGGGAATTTCCGCGTTTGTTTTTGGCGCATTTGTATTCAAAACATTTTACAATGTCCCAATTCACGCATAAACAAGGCTGCAAATCCATGCCAGAGGTTGCTCAAAGCCCTTAACCACCCAATCAATTCAAGGTGAGTGCAAGCCACAATGCCCCATTACGAGATTTTGTGGTGGGATGTATCATGGAGTAGTGACACTTGCGACAATTCTGGCCATTTGTTCCCTTGCTTCATGACGGCCCAAGCGGCCAAACAAGCAAACGATGCTTAACGTACACAAAATATATGATGATTTTCAAAAAAACATTGTTTCTGAAAATGTATCGAAAAATGTATTTGTTTGAAACAACATTGTTTTCCAAACAAATACAAAAAATGTGCATACTTATGGATAGGCACACGTAGGCAACAATTATGGATACTTGTGGATATTCGTATCATTTCGTGATATCTTATCTTCTTCATATCACACATATTCCATATGATATAATCACTATAAATCACGATAAATCACTATGATTCATGCTTAAAGCCACCACGTTTTGTGGTTTTATTGTTTCACCTTCCCAATGGTCCTGGTACATCTCTTCGGTCTGCGGCCAACGGAGCTCCTGCGGTGTCTCTGGCAGCGGGCTGGGCATTTGCCCCGCGCTGTCGCGGGCGACTTTGCGTACCTGGCGCGGGGTTGAGCGACTGAGAGCGGCAGCGGTTGGGTAGCTGGGTGGATGAAGATGTTATAACCATAACCCACTAAACATCCCTTAATTATGAAGGGTTATGTATATAAGCGATTATCAGTTATAATTCACCCAGCTTCCGAATGATCGGGGGATATGTTTGACCGGTCTTTAAGCATGTCCCAGTCATTCACAATCACCATCTAGGGTTTATGGTCATCCTTGGATATAACTTGTCATGCCTAATCTTAAGTAACCTGCAAGAAGTTGTTTTTCTTAGGGAGCTGGTTGGTGTAGTCCCTTTCATCATGAAAGTCCTGAAGTACGCATCCAAGGTTGCTGAAACATGGAGAGTTCAATGGAAAACAAACAGTGAATTTGGGACTTGACCAAACGAAACTTGGTAGTTTACCCGTGAACAAATCTATATATCATCATTGAACAATGGACAGTTGAACATGAGATTGGATGTGCGGAGCTAGGAGTGGGTCAAGTCGTGAAACGCCAACAAGACAAGCAAATCACCATCTGTGTAGTCCCATGGCAATCGGTCAATATTAGATACCAAACACAAAGTCAAACTCCAGAAAAGTGTTTATAATTGTGTTATATATATAATATATGCATATGATATTACATAAAGCTACATTACTAGCGTTATTATCATCATGATTATCATTATTACTATGAGAAAATTATATATATAGTATTGTGCTTACTAATATTAGCATCATTATCATTGTTGTCATTGTTGATACTATTATTGTGTATTATGATTACTTTGTATCATTGTCATATTACCATGTACTAAGTATTCTCATGATTACTGTTGCTAATGTTATGATGATTTCTATTTGCTTACTTCATATCTAATATATGATAATGTATATATATATACATACATACACATGATAGATATATGTTTTCCTTGTAGATTGTAAAAAAAATATCATGTGTATGTGTATATATGGAGGTTTCCCGAAATGGGGATACCCCAAAAATCATCTATTTTAATGGGATTTTCATGGATTTTCCACTACAAACCATTCATTAGAGGCACTAAAATACTAAAGTCAAAGGCGGAAACATCCATTTTGTAGTGGAAAATCCATGAACATCCCATTAAAATAGATGATTTGGGGGTACCCCCATTTATGGAAACCCCCATTTTTTAAATCTCCTTCAAAGGCTTGAAACAAACATTTTCCGCGCTCGCGTACCGTCAGGGTGGCGATCACCGAGCCCAGCAACGCCAGGAAGGAGCCTCCAAATGAGGCGCCAAACATCAAGAAATATATGTGGTTTAAATGGGACTTAAATGGAAATTATATGAGATTTATATAGGATTTATCAACGTATACATATCTATATATATAGATATGCTTATATATATGTATATGTATATGTATGTATATATATATATTAATAATATATATATATATATATATTATGATCTATGTGGGATTTGACTAGGATTTAACTCGGGGAAATTGAGCTTTCATTGGAATAAATGAGCCATGGTGAAAACGGAATTGACTGCCACTGGCAAATATGGCATATGATTTATGTAAAAATAATATAGGATAGAGCCCTTGAATAATTAAACCAACAGTTTCGCGCTAATGGGGTTTTAGTCTTACGGAATATGTTACCAAGAATCTGATGTTTGGGGCTGTCCGAACGTGTTGTATTTACCTCCACGTTATGGCGATCCTACTGGAACTTACGGTGATTTATGGCATGAGACCTATGTTCAAACAAAGCCTTGTAGCTATGCTATATGGGAGAATAATATCTAGTGGTACCCCAGAGATGGCTAACTTGTATAAAGACCAGGCTAACAAGGATTTATGGTACATATGTCGAACTTGGTAGATGGAGGCATTGTATCCAACCAACATCACCAGGGGAGCACCGCATTGTATCTATGCAATATGGATGATAAGGATGATGGTAGATAAAAATGGATGGTCATGGATGATAATGCAAAACAATGGATAATCACGGATGACAATGGATAGACTAACATAAATATGGGGAACAGCCATGGCTTCCTTAGGAGATTATCTATTGTAAGCAACAATAGTGGATGGATTTTCTGCATCTATGTTAATTTGCTGAATGTTAAGCCCATTGGGACTTCCAATCTGAAATGAAGACATGGTCAAACATAAATTCAAGCATCATCATTTGTAAGAATGTGATAGAGTCATATAGAATCACTATCTAACTTAGTTCAAATAGTTCAAACATCATATGTCTAAAGTCTAACATGGGTCAACAAAAAAAAATGTCAAACCCGGCCAAAACGTATGGTGGGCCATGGTGATTCGCCTCCCAAGAGGATGGCCACAGCCAGGGTGGCCCAGGACCATGTTGACTGCAAACCTGGGCTTTTCCAAACCACAACCAGGTGCTGTTCAGTTGGAAAGGTTGTGTCCAGTTGCTTGAAATAACTTACATTAACATACAAAAATACGAACATTTCACCATTTCACTGTTGGCTTTATGGGAAATTGCCAGTGTAGAGATATTCAACCAGCCTTCATGAGCTACAAAGGGTGGCTCAAGGGCTCGGCTCGTGTTCCCTGTCTGAAAAAAAATGTGCGCCAGGCTGGCTCGCCGAAGTTTGCCATGGTCCAGTGAAATTTCATGTGGTCCAAGGACGTTTAAATCTGGGATAATAGATGATAATAGTACATAATCCCAAAGAATTTTGTGTTTGATTTTCTTTGCAGTTTTCTTATAGTCGTCCAACTAGATTCATGGAATGCGGGTATGACCGGATGGTTTTAAGATGTTTTAAGGTTTGGAAAATTGAAGAAAGAGTCTGGTAATAGTGTTTTTTCCCATTTAACATTGTGTTATATACATAATAAACTGTTATATAGGTAAAATTTCGAACATTGTGCAATATATACATATATAAGAAGAAATAGATGATGTTCATCCCGGTCTCTCATCAGAAACCAACGGCATATCACAGCAGCCACAAATTGATGGGTAAGTTCTTAGAACAACTCAAAGTAAAAGGCAAACGCAAGAAAAAACGAACAAAAATCAAATATGTGTTGTCTAAATCATCCCCAAATAGGAGGTTAGAAGTTTGGTGTTCGCATACCCATCGTTATCTTCCACTCCCTCTGGCATCTCCCATGCGATCTTTGGACGCTGGAATCATGATCCATGTTCATCCAATTTCGGACAACTGAAAAAAACATCTACTTGACATACCCTCTGGTAAACTAACATAGCTATTGAAAATGGCCATTTATAGTGGATTTTCCAATTAAAAATGGTGATTTTCCATAGCCATGTTAAATTACCAGAGGGTATCCCCAAGACATATCCCCATGACATATCCCACGAGACAACGTTAAGAAATCGACATCTCCCCATGCGAACTCCCCAAGTTTGGTGAATTCCCCTGTTTGTTCGTTCTCTGCATGGTCCATCAGGTGTTCCCCGATTGGTGGGCTGTAATTATTCCAAATGGTCATTATTCCCAAACCTGTAATGACCAATCAATCGTTTGACAGTTAAAATATGTTAAAATACTGTAAGACCACTATAATTGTTACGAAAAAAAATCATATCAAATAGCCACAGAGGTTTTGAAGCCTGAGCAGGTTAGCAACAGTAGGGAGGTCGCAATAAGCTGCAGCATTGGGTGCCATCCATGATGACCTAGCAACAGCACAGTTCCAAAGATGTCAAGGGATGCCAACATATAACATAAGGAAGGGACAAACAAATATATATATGTATATATATATATAAGTGTTGATGCATGGTTTGTATACAATATAGGTACATATTAGGTAATGTAGTGCAATAGAATCAGAGTCCACACATATGTTTATGTCTACATAAATATATATATATATGTGATGGCAGACCAAAAATCAGAATCATGATGCAGTAATTTACACGGTGACCAAACAACACACATTTTTTTCGGTCCAACTGCCTGAAGTCATCCATGGCAATGCCACTAAAACTGGCCATACCCGTTTACTCATCAGACCCCCTCGTGGTCTTTGTCATCTCCATACATTCTCCGGTTTAACCAGCTACCTTCGGGTTCTCTCACATAGCTATCATGGCCCACTTATAGGTGATAATGATTTACCCAACTTAAACATGGTGAATTTTCCAGTTCGCAAAGCATGGGTCACTAGCAAAGGGTGTAGCTCACCATGGGGGCTGCAACGACGGCCGCAGGTCCATGACATGTACAGTTGATCCCGCCTGGCTCCAGGCGTACATGGCAACAATGGCTGCGCTTTGGTACTGCTCCCGGTCCAAGAGCACGGAACTCTGGCGGCATAATTCGCCTATGCGGTGGAGAAAAAAGTGGGGCAGGTTGGTCAGCGAAGTATACAATAGTACACATATATGTGCATTCTATATTGTATACAATATGACAAATGTTGGACATTCATATATCAAAGACGCGTGTATAAACAAATATATATATATATATATAATTATACTTTGCTGGGTACTGGGTACTCTACTATGACAACTATGTATATGGCGGTTGATCCATTTTTTTTTATCTGCAAAAGGCCATTCTTCGCGAGTAGTTTTTGTTCTGCGAATCTTTCGCGAACTCTATGATTATCTTTCGCGGAAGCCATGTTGAGCAACAACTGCTATTATGAAGATTCAATCATCACCTCCAAATCACACCAAATTATTACGGATAACTTCTTCGTAGCGTTGTAAAAATGCAGCTAGCGTCCCGGAATCCCCTTCTCAAACATTTTTTTTGCAAGGCTTACTGGGCCACACTCCCTTCAAAATGCACTTTGACCTTCGCCAACTCCTTCACAGAACTTTCGCGAAAATACCCCTATCCGCAGACCCCGGCCATCAGCACAGGGCGCATCAGAGGAAAAGCAAACCAGGGGCCTTGGTGTTTGGCTCTTGCAAAGCCTCACTTTTGCAAGCTTGGCTGCTGCATGTGGAGCTTCTTTCTTGAGACTTCAGAAAGCAACGTTAGGCAGTACCAGCGGCAGGTGCAAGGATGTGCTTCAAGACTGTGGTATTTGGCTGTGGCGGAGCCTCACCTTCGGAAGTTTGGCTGCTACTTATATGAAGGGAAAAGAAAATGTGCGGTACCATTCTCCTGCCGGACCCCGGGCGGCAGGAGATGGTAGCCCCTAACAAGCTGTAATGTCTATTTCGCGAAACTTTCGCGAATAAAACATGTTCTTTCGTCGCAGAAAAGCTTTTGCGAGGGTTCCCAGCATAACATGAACGGTCTTTGCAATTAAAAGTCTTTACAAGGACCTTTAGATCGATCACCATATGTGTAAATATCACATATCATACTACAAGGTTTTTGGTTACATGATTCATATGATGTACTTATTGCTAAAGTTCCTTTACCTGTTGTTGGTTAATCATGTTGCTGAACTCCCAGAACTGAAATTAACCAGGACTAATACAAGTAGAATTCATGTGTAACTGTATAACCAACTTCTAAGACAAAGGTGGCTCAACCGGGATTCATCATGTACTCCAGCAACTATTGGTTGCTATTCTTGAA